CAAGGAGCACGGGCCACTTTAACACTTTAGCACTTACAAATTAATTCCTCACAAGAAATTTAACAGAAAGTATGGTAAGAAAGAATGCTGTTTCAAAAAGCCTAATTTTAACTTGATTGTATGAAGGAGTTTCCGAGATTCATATTTTGGTATGAAAAGTTTCTACAGTGATCCAACTATATTTAACCTCTTAAGGGTGTTATAAACACCTTGGATAAATATATGTATAAATTAGCTCCTCATATACAAATGTGAGCACATCACATAAAAATAGTCCATTACAGCCCTGGCCAGGTAGCTCAGTTGGTTAGAGCATCATCCCGATACGCCAAGGTTTTGGGTTTGATCCCAGTCAGGGATCAACCAGTGATGCAAAAATAAGTGGAACAACAAGTCGAAGGTTTTTTCCTCTTTCTCAAATAAATTAAAAAAAAAAAGTCCATTACAATCCCCACAGAGACTCATCTCAAACTCTTGGGCAGCAGAAGTGGACAAAGCACAGTTCCAAGTTCAGGTCACAGCTTGAATATCAAATTATAGTATGAAAAGACCAAGTGTTTTTGTGGTGAAAGCACGCAAATTCCTTAGAGGCTAAAAGGAAGCTCAGAAAGGGAGGATGATGCCCCAGGAAGATGGCTGGGGAGGGGGGGGGGGCAGCAGTTCTTTCTCTCCAAAAAGCCTAAATACCCGATGTCTGTTGCCATCACTCTTTCTGAATGATCCCCTTTTCCTTTCCTACTTCTCTGGGATCAGCTCCCCTCTAACACCCCCATCTCTCTCACCAGGGTTTTCATCAAAGGTTCTCTATGTCTTCATCACAAATCTAATCCTAATACACTCTTAAAGGGACTACTAAAAATGGTGGAGCACTTACTATGCGCTACAGCAGGTGGACCACATTCCGCCAGCGTATGAGATGGCTGTAGGTGAAGGCCTAATGAAGGTTTTATTTTAATGGGTACACACTTATTTTAATGTACATTAGAAAATTATAGCTAGCACTTATGATTGTATGGATATAACTGCTCAGGACATGTCTAAATTTTAAAAATTTGATTTCAAGTTGATTTTTTTATAATTTATAATAGTACAGGCAAAATCACAGTCCTCATTCTCCCTGCCCCCAATGCACTCCTGGATTCCGCACCTCAGTAAAGGGCACTGCTGTTGCTCTAACCAAAACCTTGTAGCCCTTTTTGACTGTTGTTCCTGTCATGTACCCCACATCCACTCTGTCAGCAAATCTTATCAGCCCTTCCTCCAAGATACAGCCAGAACCCAGTACTTCTCACCACTCCTCTGCCTTCACTCTGGCCAAGCCTCTGTCATCTCACATCTGGACAACTGAGTACCACTCAGCAGGTCCCAGGCTTCTCCTCTTGCCGCCCAAGTGCTTCTCAATGAAGGGCTTTCTCCAATCACAAATCAGATCACATCATGACCCTACATAAAACCAGACAAGAGTTTCATATCACACTTAGAACAGAATCCAAAGTTCATCTGAGGATCCACAAGTTTCCCTTGAACCTCAGCTACTACCCTCCCCAACATATTCCATTCCAGCCACACTGGCCTCCTTGCTGCTCCCCAAGGAGTGTCTGTTTCCTTGGACAGGAATACTCCCTCCCATATGCCCCACTTCATCTCATCAAATATTGAGAGGTCCTCCCCTACCAGTTGGTATGAAACGGCCCCTCCACTATTCTGTGTGAATCCAGACTATTCCTCCTCACAGCATCCCCTGATGTTATGTTACAGATATTATTATATCATATATAATATGTATTTGTTCACTGTTTAATGTCTCCCTTCCTAGAACATAAGCTTCATGGAGGCAGTGTCCCCTGCACCTCCATGGTACCTGCCACATAGTGACATTTAAGGCAATGAACAGCAGGCACTCAAGGCAGAACTGAAGGTGGACCTTCACAGATGCAGTGACCATGCCAGGCTAGAAGTATAACATGGTAACTCATTTAATACTAACAACACGTCTGGAAACCCTCTTGGCTGGGGAAACCAAGGTTCAGGAATTTTAAGTGACTTGCCCAAGGCCATACAAGATTCATACTCTGTTTTATCAGGCAGCTAGATTCTTTTGTACACATCAAGTTATCTTCAAAAGCTCTTCTTTTGCCCTAGCCAATTTTGCTAAGTGCTTTGAGCGTCGGCCCATGGACTGAAGGGTCCCAGGTTCTTTTCCAGCCAAGGGCAAGCATCTTGGTTGCAGGCTCCATCCTAGCCCTGGTTGGGGTGAGTGCAGGAGGCAACCAATCGATGTGTCTCTCTCACATTGATGTTTTCTCTCTCTCTCTCTCTCTCTCTCTCCCCCTCTCTCTCTCTCTCTGTCCCCCTACTACTTTCTGAAAAGCAATGGAAAAAATACCCTCAGGTGAGAATTAAAAAAATAAATCAATTAATTTTAAAAAAAAAAGCTCTTTTCTTCAAAAGACCTTTGAAGGTACCACACTGCCTGGGGAAGAAAGGAGAAACTCCTTGGAATGTCATTCCTCTAAGTACTCTGCCATCTGGCCCTAGCGCACCCTTCCAGCACCATGTCAGCAATTCCCTAGCCCTTCCTGCAAGCCTCCACTGGCCCGCTCAAATGAGGCCACCCACAGCCCCTCAACACATTGACACTGGAATAACTTACACATTGTGTTAGTTGTACATGCCCCTTCTCTCAAGCTGGTGTGCAAATGTAGTGAGGGTGGGCAAATGTCTTATTTATCTTCATATCCCCAGGCCCAGACTAGCAACCCTCACAGCCATCTGCTGAGTGATGGTGTTTGAGCTGCCCTCACCAACTCAGGACAGTGGAGGGCAGGACAGCAAACCCTACACACTCAGACATCCTGTGAGCAGAAATGTCTTGTTCATCATTAGGGTGGGAGGGGGCTTGTGTAGACATATCTGGCATCCCTTTGCCTTTCATCAGGATGCTATGTGCTTAAAGCTAACTGTCCTATCTTTCAAAGATTCCACCACCACCCAGGAACACCTACTGGTGGCTAATAAAGCTCACCTTCTGTCTAACCTCAGTCCCTTGGGCCCCATAGAGGGAAGGGAAGCTGGCAGCCAGTGCCCTCAGCAAGCCAAGTCAGCCTACAGTGGTTATCACTTTCAGCATTAGCTGCCATCCAGCCAGTGTTTCTGGGATGTTTATTACAATGGGGACATTTACACTGTCCTCTGGGAGCTTACAAAGCAGAGGGCCAGGTCTACCTAACTCAATGTCAGGGCTGACCTGCCAAGTAGTAGTAACAAAAAGGGGGTCAGTCAAAGGTGTGGAGAGGAAGATATCTACACTCCTCCCCAGCCAGCCACCCACTCACATTGGGAGCTGCTGTCCTGGAAGTGGAATTTCAGAGTCTACTCCAGGGGTAGGGAACCTTTTTTCTGCCAAGGGCCATTTGAATATTTATAACATAACATCATTCGTGGGCCACACAAAATTATTTGAGTTAAAAATTAGCCTGCTAGTCTGGCCGGCGTGGCTCAGCGGTTGAGCATCGGCCTATGATTCAGGAGATGGAGGTTCGATTCCTGGTCAGGGCACATGCCCGAGTTGCAGGCTTGATCCCAAGTGGGGGGCATGCAGGAGGCAGCCGATCAATGACTCTCTCATCATTGATGTTTCTCTCTCTCTCTCTTCCTATCTCTGAAATAATAAAGATATATATATATTTTAAAATTAGCCTGCTATATTTGGTCAAACATTTAATTAACTCACCCAGAATGTAATGGCTGGAACTGCTTCTCTTTGATGAGGCCTTGGCAGGGCCAGATCAAATGATTTCCTGGCAGAATCCAGACGTTCCCCACCCATGGTCTACACAAAGCCTGTCATTAATATGCAGCAGTAAAGGTCACCCCCCACCCTCACACCCAGCCTGCAACACAGACACTCCAATTCTGATGCTTCAAGACCCTTAGGGGCAGGAGGGCCAATGGTGAGCACTGGACCCAGCTACAAATGCTTTACTCATTATTTCTTACAAATATTTATCAAATGCCTGGCACCTAGTGGTGGAAGGTAGCGGTGACACTATTCATTGCAAATCACAAGTCCCTGTCTTCAAAGAGTTCATTTTCCAGTACAGGAGGCACACAAGTCCACAGGCAATTACAACAGACTGCTATGGCTGGGAAGGACCCAAGGGAGAGGCACCCTGGCTGGGCAGGTGAAAATAGGCCCAAGGTGCCAACATGTGTGTGCATCGATATGCACAGGTGTCAGGAGGATGCAGGGGCTGGAAGACTCCAGCAACAAACCCATGAGGGTCCAGACTGCAGGTAGGGATGAGTCTCAAGAGAATCCTCCCACTGCCTGCTCTCACCTTATAGCTAAGGAAACTGAGGCCGATTGAGGCATAGTGAGTTACAACCAGGACCAGAGCCCCGGATGCCCGACTGCAGTCATTCCCCTGGTATAGGTTAGAGGCTAAGAGGAACGACTGCCTGATTTTAACTCTGTCTCTGCCACTCACCAGCTGTGTGGCCTTGGGCCTCTCTGTGCCTCAGTTTCCTCATTTGTAAAACAGGAAAAATCACAGTACCTATCTCATGGGGCTGTCATGAAAATTAAACTTACAAATGTAAAGCAACTGGCGCAAAGCCTGGGATGTAGTAGGCGGTACACCAATGGCTACTGCTGCTCTGATTATCATCACCCCGCGACTGCTCAGTGCCAGGGGTGGGCTCACCGCCCCGGCTCTCCCCGCCGCCGCGCGCCGCATTCCCTTCCGGCTCTAGAACCCGTCCACTCTCGACGTGCCCCAGGCGCTCGGCAATCCGGGGCCTGGAATCCGAGTGCCCGGCGGCCGGCGGCAGGTCCTGGTGATGGGGCGGGCCTGCCCCGGGAGGGGAGGGCGGCGGTCACACCCCGTCAGGGAGAGGTAGGGCCCAAGGCGAGGAGAGAGCCGCGCCTGCACCAGACAGTCCCCCCACAACCCCCCGGACTCCCAACCCCCGGCCCGGAGAGCGGGTTGGTTCCTCACACTCTGCAGTAGGCTTCTCCTCTGCGCCGCCATCTTGGAGGGACCCGCGGGCGCTCCCTCCTCCCGCAGAGCAGGCGAGAAGGGCGGCTAGAGCGGCCTGAAGCCGGCCGGGAGGACCGCGCTGCCAGGGAGCATGCGCCCAGTGCCAGTGCTCCGCCGCAGGGGGCGCGGCCGTAGCAGAGCGTGTGCGCAGGCGCGCGCTTCCACCTGACCGCTACCAGGGTTCCTCACGCGGCTGCTCCTCGCCCATAGGTATTTGCACAGTTTCCCGGGGTGCTTTTCAGGTGGGGCCCGCAAAGCGCCGGATTAGGGTTCCTCATGAACTATTCATTCACTCAGTAAGGGGTCGTTGGGCGACCACGCCTGGCCCCATAGGGGTGAAGCAGCAGGCAAGACAAGCCCTCCTAAAGCTAACGTTGTCATTGGGGAGGACAATATTTTACATTCGTAAGTCTTTCAAGTGAAGCTAAATGCTAGGAAGAGAAGTTCATGGATGTGGCGTGGGAGTGTGGTGTTAACCGGCAACAGGGAAGGGAAGGGAAGGCCAGGCCAGTGGAAGGGACAGTGAGTAGGGAGCAGGGAGCAGGGAGTAGGGAGTAGGGAACAGGAGCAGGGAGTGGGAGCAGGTGCAGGGAGCAGGGAGCGGGAGCAGGTGCAGGGAGCAGGGAACGGGAGCAGGGAGCAGGGAACGGGAGCAGGGAGCAGGGAGCGGGAGCAGGGAGCAGGGAACGGGAGCAGGGAGCAGGGAGCAGGGAGCGGGAGCGGGAGCAGGGAGCAGGGAGCGGGAGCAGGGAGCGGGAGCAGGGAGCAGGTGCAGGGAGCAGGGAACGGGAGCAGGGAGCGGGAGCGGGAGCAGGGAGCAGGGAGCGGGAGCAGGAGCAGGGAGCCGGAGCAGGGAGCAGGGAGCAGGGAGCGGGAGCAGGGAGCAGGAGTAGGGAGCAGGGAGCAGGAGCAGGGAGCAGGGAGCCAGAGTAGGGAGTAGGGAGCAGGAGCAGGGAGCGGGAGCAGGGAGCAGGGAGCAGGGAGCCGGAGTAGGGAGCAGGGAGCAGGAGCAGGGAGCGGGAGCAGGGAGCAGGAGCAGGGAGCAGGAGCAGGGAGCCAGAGTAGGGAGTAGGGAGCAGGAGCAGGGAGCGGGAGCAGGGAGCAGGGAGCCGGAGTAGGGAGCAGGAGCAGGGAGCAGGGAGCCGGAGTAGGGAGTAGGGAGTAGGGAACAGGAGCAGGGAGCAGGGAGCAGGAGCAGGAGTGGGGAGCGGGGAGCAGGGAGCCGGAGTAGGGAGCAGGAGCAGGGAGCGGGGACCGTGTGGGTTCTAGAAGACCTGTGTTGGGTCGGAGGGGAGGGGGAGTGAGCTGGAGCAGGGCAAGGTGGGCGGGCTCTGACAGTGGGACCCACGCAGGACTTGGGCTACTCATCTGGAGGGCAAGGGGAGGTTGTGGACTTCTGAGCAAGTAGTTGATGTGATCCCATTGGTAGAAAGATCCCTTTCACTACTGTGTCCAAAAAAAAAAAAAAAAAAAAATTTTT